TGTTCCATGCAATCATGCTGGCCAGATGAACTTGGAGGTGTCTATGGACAATGCTGGCTCCTCAGCTTAGAAATGGAAATGAGCAACTTTACCTTTATAGAGATTTTTGTAAATCTGATAGTGGAATCATCAATAGTTGGTCAACAGTAGGATTGAATTTTCTAGTAGCCTGTCTGCAAAATCAGTGGCCAATGATATATAATCGTAACGGGTTTAATTGGCTCCTATAAATATTGGTTAAAGGGAACACAATGCACAGGCCAGTTTCTTTTTGAGTTGAAAGATGTCTTAATTCATTTTTCCCCACCTCTGAACTGTTTAAATTATGCATCCATTTTATATTCCCACACTTTCATTTCAGAGCTGGGTCATGTGTCATTAAGACGCTTGAACTGTAATGAATGACTCTTATTATTTTTGCACGGGGTGAGCGTTAGATCTACAAAAAGCAATTCCAGATATAAAACAGCCAGGAAAGAAAACATTCACAGTTGTTCTTCTCTGACTTGAATCAGCTTGGTGATTTAATGGAGGAGTGGTAAACCCAATATTCTCTCTCACACATACGCTCGCATCGACTTTCAATTTACTGGGAAGGGTATGACCATTAACAAGATGTTACATAATGATCATATCTTGGGATCAGTGCAACCTTTTCTAAAGAAAAATTCAGGTGTTCAAATCTGACAGCATATGGCATCGCCGGTGGCAATTTACTCATCAGGCAATGTTCCTGTATCCAACTAGCTTACCAATTTTTTTTAAAAAGCACAAATGGAACACATCTTCTTGTTTACTTATTTATTCATTTACAGTAGAGTCCCGCTTATCCGACATAAATGGGCCGGCAGAACGTCGGATAAATGAAAATGTCGGATATTGAAGAGTCTCGATGTGGCTCTAAACACCTAGAATACTAACAACAAGGACTCAAAAGGTTAAGGCAAGGCAACGCCTCAGGGCTAGAGTGGCCCAGCAAGAAGTGCTAAGATGCAGAAGAGGAGCGTGGAGATCACAGAGCAAAGGAGGGAGGATGCTTCTGCTTCCGGTCCTGCCTAGTATATTCTCTAGTATATTCAGTCGCTGATCAATTCCTCTATTTGCTGCGTGGTATAGAAAATAATGGGAAAGGGTTAAGGGAGAGGCAGTGGGCATGGTCATGCAAATTCCACACCAGTGGAGAGAGTAAGAAACACTGGGATGTCTGTGGTGGAGGAAACACATAAAATCTAAGATGAAAGTTTCCCCGTATGAAAGCCTTCACTTGGGTGTGTTGGTGGAGGAAATTGGCAGGGCTCTTGTACATGTTCATGGCACTTGCTATAACCTGCAATGTCATTGGAGAGAGGGCCATTGGTGTCTCATGAGGAGTGAGAGCTGTAGCTGTTTGTGGAGGCAGGAGCTTGTTTGCTCAAGTGGACACCCAGCCACACACACACATACATTTTTTCACTTTCATTATGTGTATAGATAAATGGGGCTTCATGGTACATATCATGTGTGTGCTGTCACACTCTGGGCCTGTGAAACAGTCTGTAGACAGGACGTGTTTTCTGAATGCCCAACGGGACGCCGGGGTGCCTCGGCTGAGAGGCCTTTCGGATTTCCCCACACAAAGTTCTTTTAAAGACTTAGAAAGTTCAACAAAGTTTTTATTGTTGCTTAAATCTTCAATAAATCAAACAAATACTTCAAGGCTTTGAATCAACTGGTGGCTTGCTTAAATCTTGTCCACAAGGGACAGGCAACTTTCTTCATAAACTGTTTCTTCCTTCTACAAGGGAATCCTTGACCCCTCCCTGGGCAATCTAATTTAAGTTCTGCTGGCGTGGGCCCCTACACCCGGTACAAATTGCTTTATGGCTGCCACGAGTGGCCCTTACCAAACAGAGTCCTTTAGTAGATTTCCAAGGCTGGCTGTAAAACCATGGAGCTGTATTTCTCCAGCAAAAAGCTGGCTGTAGAGTTGTGGAACTAAATTCCCCAACAAAGGCTATACTGTAGTTCTCTGTAGAGCTGTGGGACTGGATCCCCCCAGCAAGCTGTAAAAGACGAAACTTACTACAGGTGGAACTGATTCACGTCCTGTACGAAAGGCTTCTTTGTGTGAACTGAACTAGAGATCCCCTTTTTTCCCCCTTAACCCAGAAAAAGGGGTGGAACTAAAGAGCATAATGATAATTGATGGGTCATTGGCCCTATTATTGCAAACCAAGGGAAGCCACCTTATTGCAAAATGCATGGAACTTTGGAATACATGCAAACACTCAATAAAAAGGAAAAGAAGTTGGAGCTCCTGGTACAACCGTCCCAGCACAATGTGCACAGAATAAACAACATGATAGTTCTGGTTCAGTTTCTTCCAGTAGGTCATGCAAGTTTATCTAGGCCTAGCACGTTGGCAAGACTTTTCTTCAGCTACTCAAAACAGCAGAACAATCTAATGAAGAGCTGTTGAAAGACTCCAATGCCAAGGAAATGCTGAATGCTGAGTCTTTGCCTAGTTTTTCTCAGTCACCAGTCCAGTTTCTGGATTCACGTGGTCCTTAAACAAGGAGATCATTGTCCGTGCTCCGCCACAAAAACGTCAGAAGACAATTGAGTTCTCAAAACTGTCATCCTCTGAGCTGACCATACCATGCTCTGGCTTCTGATGGATACCTTCTATGAATAGTATTGGAAACAAAGACTAATGTTTTTGTGGAGGTGACTAATGTGAGAGAAGAGAAACCTAACGTCTTAGTCCTCTCTTCGTGATAACTGGATTTGAAAGGTACTATGTGTCCATATAATAGAACCTTCTATTTCTAATATGTGTAAGTTTCTTTTGCATAGTTCTGTAATTTTATTAAATGCTGGTGGAGTGTATTCCCGATAATATAATATCATAACAAATGTGGGTTACTATAAAAAAGCGTCAAACTGTTTTTATTCTATAGTGCGGATGCATTTTGGGCAGTGTTTCTCACTCTTCCTAATGCCGCAACCCCTTAATACAGTTCCTCATGTTGTGGTGACCCCAACATTATTATTTTAACATCATCATCATCATCATCATCATCATCATCATCATCTTCACATTATTATTATAATGTGAAATATTATTATTAGTAGTAATATTATTGTTATTATTATTTTCACATTATTATTATTACATCATTACTACTACTACTACTACTATTACATTATTAGTAGTATTATTATTAAACGTTGTTATTATTATTATTATTATTATTATTATTATTACATTATTTCCGTTGCTACTTCATAACTGAAATTATCATAATGTAAATAGATATGCAGGATGTATTTTCATTCACTTGACCAAATTGGGCACAAATACCCAATACGCCCAAATTTGAACACTGGTGGGGTTGGGGGGGTGTGTGATTTTCTCACTCGGGAGTTGTAATTGCTGGGATTTATAGTTCATCTACAATGAAAGAGCATTCTGAACTACACCAATGATGGAATTGAACCAAACTTGGCACACAAAACTCCCACAATGAACAGAACATACCTGAAGGGTTTTGTGGGCATTGGCCTTAAGTTTTGGAGTTGTAGTTTACCTACGTTCAGAGAGCACTGTGGACTCAAACAATGATGGATCTGGACCAAATTTGGCACGAATCCTCAATATGGCCAAATGTGAACACTGGTGGAGTTTGGGGGAAATAGACCTTGACATTTGGGAGTTGTAGTTGCTGGGATTTATAGTTCACCTACAATCAAAAAGCATTCTGAACCCCACGAACGATGGAATTGAACCAAAATTGACACTCAGAACTCCAATGACCAACAGAAAATACTGGAGGGATTTGAGAGGAATTGACAGTGATTTAGGGGAGATGTAGTTCACCTAATTCTGGAGAGCACTGTGTTCCTAAGACCATCAAAAATACATGTTTTCTTATGGTCCTCTGACCCCCCCCCCCCCCCAATCCTCAGGTTGAGAAACGCTGTCCTAGACATTATGACAATATATTCCTGTCTCAGATTGGTTGTATATACACGTGGATAAGTTATGACCAAAAGAAAATACTGGAAGGGTTTGGTAGGCAGTGACCTTGTGTTTTGAAGTTGTAGTTCACCTATATCCAGAGAGCACTGTGAACTCACACAAGGATATTTGGCACAAATACTTAATATGCCCAAAATGTGAACATTTGAGAGTTGTTGTTACTGGGATTTAGAGTTTACCTACAATCAAAGAGCATTCTGAATGCCATCAACGACAGAATTGGGCCAAACATCCCACACAGAACCCCCATGTCTTCAAGGGACTCATTGGCACAAGTCTTACTCCAGCCTCGCATGCTCTTCCTCACCTGCACATGCGCACCATGTTCTATGAGCTGAGCATGCCTGCTCTCCCCTCCCCACTTGGAATCTCAGAAAGAGTCCTCCCCTTGGCTGTGAGGCCAGCCAATCACAGCGGAGGAGGGCTATTGGTGGGAGGATTTGTTATCTGGTTCCATGGAGGAAGAGAAGGACAGGTGGAGAGATCTTCAGCCTTCTCTGTCAAAGGTTTTCTGATGGTCTTTGGTGACCCCTCTGAAACCCCCTCATGATCCCCAGGTTGAGAAACGTCTATGTCGTTTGATGGGCTTCATGTTGCTTCATCTAGGAACTGTTTTGGAAGTGTTTAGAAATGGGGGATTGGATGTGATGAGGTCCTGAAGGAGGCAACCTGTGTGGCCTCTTACAAACCTTTCAAACACCATCCAAATGTTAAGCAATTATTATGATATGCAAATCGTTGGGGCTAGCTCTGTAATCGCAAGCCATTTATCTAATGATTAATATTCTCCAAGAGCATCAAGTTTGTATTAATCTCCAAACATCTGCCGCGCTGTTGCAATGCTTCACTGTTGCACTTACATAAGAGTTTTTTCCAGGAGGGGGCTTAGAAGAAGGACAGCATGAATAATAAAGAACAGGCTACTATATTAAATAAATTATATACCAGTGCTGTGAATGTGCTGTCAAACTCTTTCCAGAGCCTTTGACGTCCCCGTGAAAGACCTGCACTTCTCCCAGGATCAGCCATCACTTTGCTGCCCAATGGGGCTGACGGCACAACATGGAGAAGGTCAGCCCAAAGCAGAGGATGATGAAAGGGCCGAGTCTCCCACGGTCAAGGAGAAGATCTCGGAAGAAACTTTGCAGCAAAATGGGCCACTGGAGTACTCTAGCTGGTAAGTATTGTTGTTGTCATCCCCCTCGCCACCGGTCTTATAATCTATATATATAAAAATGTTCTGTTTGCTTTGAGTGACATCTTAACTCAAAATCCGCTAGACAAATTGCCACCAAATTTGGCCACAAGACACCTACTAACCCAAGGAGTGACTAAAAAATTGATTTTGTCATTTGCGAGTGTTAGTTGCTGGGATTTATAGGTAACCTACAACCAAAGAGCATTCTGAACTCCACCAACGATGGAATTGAACCAAACTTGGCCCACAGAACTCCCA